GAGTTGTGGTGAGATGACATAAAAAGTGTTGCTTCTCTAAATCTCAGAAATATTTGTACTTCTCACTGCCAAGCTAGTTAAAATATATGAACACTTAAAGGTCAGAAAAAGTTGTGCAGTTTCCTCTACAATCAGCTGCTACAGGTGACAGAAATAATAAAGATAAAATCCATCACTTGTCTTCTCTAGTAACAGAAGCACCACTTGAAAAACCTGAGCAAGAGTTACCAGGGCAGCCTAAGCCTGAGAAACTAAGTGCTGTGGAAGCAATTTCTCCACAGCAGTGCCAGCCTCAGGAATCTGAACCTAGGAAGAGAGAAGAAAGTAAAGAACGGCCACCTTCACAAGAGAAGAAGAGGGATGTGGACAGGCACTTTCCTCGGAAAGAAAGCCAGGAGCCTGCTTCAAGGAGAGAAGCTGAGGAAACTACACAACAGGAGGGTGGTGGGAGCAAAAGTAAGTTGAGCCATAGATATTCAGACAATGGGAAAACATTGAGACCCACTCCCTCCCCACAGTTGATTGTGTGTCGTGCCATTAAGTGACAGATGGTGATGGCTTTCCAACAGAAGGCCTCTTTAAAGAATGTTTTTTCACGATGTATAACAAAGTACAAAATGTATTGAATTCAAGCAGAGTAAACTGGGAGTGAGATCTCTGTCCAGCTTGCACAGGTGCTGGAGGATTTGGGGAGGACACCCCAAAGTGAGAGGGGTTGGTGCCTGCCTAGGCTGCCCTCTATAAAAATTAATTCAGGGCAAGCTGCTACCATCCTTTCCAATCAGTATCTCAGTCACTGAGCTTGCCTTTCTGTATGGCTGCCTCTTGAGGGAGGTCCTTAATGCTGGGGCAGCTATGAGACCCTGACCTGAGGGCAGGAGAAGGCCCAGCTACTCAGGGTTCCCCTGTCTGTTGGATGCAAGGTGAGTGGTTGCAAGGAATAGATGTTGAAAGTTCTTCATTTCTTTCCTGGCAAGGGGAGGAAGGTGTTACCTCCCAGTCTGTGAAGATGATTACACTAGCAATCTTACCTTATTCTCCATTCCCCTCTCCCCGATGCAGAACAAATGTTGGGCCTATTATTCTCTCCTTAGGAGAGTCTCTTACCCCAGCCACACAATCCAGCTACTGCTGCTCCTTGCCCTTGTGGGAGCACCACCTGATGATGCAGGACTGCCACAGAGGCAGTGCAGGCCATACTGCACCACACTGTGCAGCTGAGGACTTCATGAAGCTGCATCTGTCTCAGTGGTGCAACATGTCTGTGCTTATACAGTGGCACTTCCCAGATAGGCCTGATTAATGTTTCAGTAGAGTCTAACCAACTCTTTGGACCACCTTGCATGGCTATTTCATATCTGCCTTTTTCAGGGGATTCTCTGGTACAAGTACAGCATTGATCATACTTATGCACAATGCCAAAATTGAGAGATTAACAAGCACATGGGAGGGCAGGGCAAAGTTACTAAAGGACCTGGAAATAACAGGAGGGACAACAACTGGGACAGATTAGGTCTTAACTGATTTAAATCTAGACCAAGAGGAGGAAAAAGGCAGCACACATTCTTAACTACCCCATTGCATTCAGACAAATTGATTTTCACTTTGCCTCTGCCATAGTGATGAGAGTTTGGCTTCATAAGGTAATCTTTCCCTCTTCCTCACCTTCATCAGCAATTATGCTAAAGCGTATCCCTCGTTTCACCCCACCTGAAGTGATTGTGGGGCTTCTGGCACCATATGTTCGACTCTCCATCTCTAGCGTGCGCATCATGAAGAACAAGGCTGGCCGGATGGGGCACACTTATGGCTTCATTGAACTGGACTCGCATGCTGTAAGTGGCTGTATTTGTGCACTCTCTGCTTTGGCCTCTATAATAGGTGGAAAAAAGCTTGCCAATATTAAGAGCAAACAAAAATGCAGTAAACTTCTATGTTCATGTCAGAGTAACTTTTGGAAAGTCTTTTATTTGGCTGGCAACAGTCATTTTAGACCACTTTAGCATCACCTGCTCAAGGTCAGGGAGGCTGGACCTGATGATTTTGTTAGGTCCCTTACAGCCCCTAACATCTGTGAACCTCAGTTTATCCAGATGAGCCCTTAGATGTAGGAAGTGGCTGAGTGCTCTTCACCTATCCTTTCCCTCTCCCATATAAGCAATTCAATATTTACTGTGTCATAGCTGCCATTAAGCCAAATGAATTGCTTGCACAAGTAGTGCATAAAAGATGCAAATGTTGAGAGAGCAATGTATATTCTCCCTGGAGGAGTCCATCTTGTCTTTGGACAGGTCTGCTTCCAATATTATACCCTCCCTCGTCGGTCTACTTTGGTACAGAGTCACCAAAATTATTAGCGGCAACTTTGAAGACACAAGGTTCGGGTGCCATGCCAGTTAGCTGATGAAGCGGCCAGAGAATGGACAAATAGCCTAAATGTGTATTTTCTTTTTCTCATATCCCATGGGTCTTTCAAAAATATGTAAAACTAAAGGGGTACTCATTGGCCTAGGGTGTCCTCTACTCTCTGGCTTCTAGCAGTAAGTCTTCTTTTGGATCTCTGGCTTTGGGGTCCGGGTGATTCGGCCCAAAATTTGGCCCTAGGAAAAGCTCTGTCTACTAGTAGTCTGGGTACCCTAACTGATATGTGTTTTCTGATTGCCATAATTGGAGCAATGGATATTGACCAGATCTTAGTTAAACCTACAAATCCTAGACCAGGATGTTTGCAGGAGGAGAGTACGTTTTCCCTCCACTGTGCAGGATTCAACTCCCTTGACAAACACTACACTAGTCACCTCTATCTTTGAGTTCCTTCAGTCAGGATTGGTTTTTGGAAATGTCTCCTTCCGTCCACAGGAGGCTTTACGATTGGTGAGGATTCTGCAGAACCTAGATCCCCCAATCTGCATAGATGGGCGCACTGTGGATGTCAACTTAGCCACAGGGAAGAGAAGGTATGAAAAAGAGACATTATAATCCGATATATAATCTGCTGTCATATCATGGTCTGTCCTGTTAGGTCCCTGTTATCAAACTTGGATACACAGTTATGCATGCATATCAGCCTGCAAGTGCTGGATTTGGGTAATATAGGTACCTAAATTTCAGGGGTGAAATTTAGGCACCAAGGTATGAGGAGGTTGAGAAAACTTGAGTAGCAGGAAAAACAAATGTAAGAGTAGTTTGGCTCTTACGGGATTAACCCTCTGGTAAAAATGCACCCCAGGGAACTATGCAATTATGTGCCTGCACAGCTTTGTGTATAAAGGCATGGCCACACATAATTGCATAATTTTGCATAATTTAACCCAGCGTGCTCTGTGCCTCCACCTCCATGGGGCTCCTGGCACTCCAGATGGGAGCCCCATGTGGAGGCACTGAGTGCAGTGGCATTTGACTAGACAGCTGGTAAGTGGGGAGAGGAGCTTCTGCCTGCAGGAGGCAGGGGTGGGCTGGGCATGGGGTTTGTGAGTGGGTGTGAGGGTGTGCACAGAAGGTGTGAGCCACACGCCATCAGGTCATGCCAGCCGGCTCCATGCCTCCATGTGGGGCTTCCAGCACTCCAGCAGGAAGCCCCATGTGGAGTCACAGAATCGTGTGCCCAGCCTGATGATGCGTAATTCCATGCCCTGGAGTGCCGAAAGCCCCACATGGAGGCATGGAGCTGGCACGGCCCAGCCAGGCCCAATGGTATGCAGCCCCTGCCTGCAGTGCTGCAAGCCTCACATGCTGGCACAGTCAGCCCGGTCTGGTTTGAAGGTGCATGCTAGCTGACTGGCTCTGTGCTACCACATGCAGCCCTTGGGACTCAGCCAGAGTCGTGTGCTGTGTGCCGCCAAGGGCTCTGCCTGCTGTAGCCATGAGTGCCCCAAGAGCCCAGCACCTGGTGCTGCTGAGCCACCGGTGGTGGGGGCTATGCACCATGGTGGGGGTACATGTAACAGGGGGACCCACACCCATCCACCCCCCCCCAACTCCATATACTCCAGTACCCACACCACTCCACACCTCTCCCACAAATTCACACCCCACACCCACCCCCTAGCCATACAAAGTACCTGCATGTATTTC